TTTTTTTGTCCACTCCCTTTAAACTACGAAATGTTATGTAAAATTTTGTCATTGATCTTCTCAAACTATATTTATATATTCTTCAATGTTATGGAACTAAAGAGCAATCAATGAAGATGCAAGAACCTCTTGCCACGCCCACCTTTCACATGCTCTAAATTACAATATGTCAATTATTTTTTCTGACGGCGAGTCCTATTAAATTTATAACCAATAGAAAGCCTAGAATACAATTCATTGATTAAAGTATGATTCATCTTACGTGATATTATAGATAATTGACAATTTAGCTGAAGAGAAAATTGTTTTTCCCACAAGGTGAGCTAAAGTTGATTTTCTAACTGCTCAAGTCACGTGATTAAGAGAGCTAGAACATCTCTCACAGAAAGAACTGTTTCCCAGTTATTATTCTGCGTTCTTCCATGTATTATCTGCTTAATGAAAAAATATATAGAGCAGTAGCATTGATGTAAAGTATTAATTAGGGCTAACACAGAAGAACAGTCGACGGCAAAAAAGAAAAGAAAAAAAAAGGATTACACAGGTAAGTGATATATTTTTTGTTTATTCTTTATTTATTATTATCAAAGTAAATAAAAATGTAAAAATTAGGAACTTTTAGGCTAAATTATGTAATATATATATAAATAACGATAATACTGTAAGAAATATTGTAACTCGGTCCTCACTAGTGCTTATAAAGTTCTATGCACAGCAAGTTCAGTTTTCCTATGCGAATATACAGCCACTCTATGGCAGCCTTCTGAATAGGTCGATCATTTAATTCCGGAAAAATAAAACAAAAACGAACTAGTACGTTCACTAGATCATTATATCATACATGATGAAAAGGAACCGAATTTCCTTTCCCCTATAAATATGTACTATAAGTATAGCAATCAACCACCAAAACATTCTAAATATGCGTGTGTGTGTGTATTTTACATGTATATTATTAAAAACAAACTTGTTCTATTAAAGATCATCGACTATATATATATATATATATATATATAGGAAGAGAAATTTCATATCTAGTAAAAACGAATGTTTATAACACGTACACACAAAAAAAAAAGAATAAAACCACCTTTTCGTGAGAGGATAAAATTTTCTCTAGTTTCAAAGACCCTGATGGTTGAGGTACAAATATTATATTATAACGACCTTGGAGCTTCATTACGTCTTAATAGTTCATGTCATTATGTCTGGCCATGCTCTACCTGACTCCTGTGCATCTTAACAATAATCGTGCAACATATTCTCCATTGCATGAGAGTCTGCAGTAAGGCCGTCATATCCAAAGCACCCAGTTCATTCCTAAATGCTTTTTATAATCCATTTTATGTACAAGGATGACGGTTTCCCTGAATCCATTTCAATAGTTCAATCACATGGAAATCCAAAATCCATAGGTGCTGCATCTATTAACTTGACCTGTATGTCTTTGTATGGAATAGCATGAATAACCATTTTATTCATATCAGTTGCAGTTGTTGAACAGACATGTCTAGGAAGCAGGTACTGTACACGTGACATATGTAACGTTTCCAGGTGGAGATCCTTCTTAATTATGTAGTATACTGTTGCATCTGACATGTGAACAAATTTTGCCAATGACTCTTGTATTTATGGATTATCACCTGTATCAAGATGCCACACAATGCTTACCATGTTTTATGTATGACTTACTACAAATTTCTTACTGGATATTTCTAATGCACTAAATTGATCCATGTTCTTTTGTTTTCCAGTGTTATTAAGAACAATGAGATCTTCGAAATTTCAAATCCCCTATCTGAACACATCTTCATGAACTGAGTGTATGAATATTTTACATTGGAAAGAACTGTTATATGTCCTTGACAAAAGTGATAAATTTTTGGTGGATCACACTATTTATGTAACATCAAACATTGTCAAAATGTAATTATGATACATGTTATTCCACCGCTACTCTATATTGGGCTTTGTTGTCACATGACTTGCTGTTTTGTATATTTTCATATAATTTTAACCTAACATACTCAACCTTCTGTATAACCATTTCTAATTTGTAAAAGTTAACCAGAGGGGAGGCAACCAGACAGAAGCACTAGCTGCAGCATGGGCTTTGTTAAATTTTATTGAACTAAATAATGGAAATAAACTGTCACACTTATAAAACACTAAAGCTAGAAGTGCGCAGTGAATTCAGTGTGGTAGTTTATATGGAACTTTGGAACCAAGAATCCACAGCCTGGCAAGATAATTACAAGGCCGGGTTAGGCTCATCACTGCATAACTTATCTGGTTAGTGTTGGTCATCACTGGTGTATTATTTATCTAATAAGAGTTGGTCATAACTGCTACATGATTTATCCTGTGAGTGTTGGTGATCACTACTTTGTGATTTACCTGGTAAGTATTGGTCATCACTCTTATATGATTTACCTGGTAATTGTTGAGCATTACTATGTTGTGATTAATCAGTTAAGTATTATTCATCAATGCTCTACGACTAATCCTGCAATATCATATATTTGGTAAGTATTGGTCATCACTGCTGTATGATTTGTCTGGTAAATGTCAGCCATCAGTGTTATTAGCTGGTAAGTATTGGTTATCACTGCTGAATAATTTAACTGGTGCGTGATGGTCATCACTGCTGTATGCTTTAATTAGGAAGTGTTAGTCATCACTTCTTTATTATTTATTCTGTAAGTGTTGGTCATCACTGCTACATGATTTATCCTATAATTTTTTCGCATCGCTGTCATATAGCAATATTAGTTGTCACTGTATTGTCATTAGCTAGTAAGGGTTGGCAATCACTTATATATGATTTATTCTGTAAGTGTGATCATTACTGCTATATGATTTGTCTGGTGAATATTGGTATTACTGTATTGCGATTTATCTAGTAAGTGTTGGTCATCACTGTTGTATGATTTACCTGGTAAGTTTTTATCAACACTTCTGTATGATTTACATGGGAAATGTTGGTCATCACTGCTGTATGCTTTAATTGGGAAGTATTGGTCATCACTGCTGTATGCTTTAATTGGGAAGTATTGGTCATCACTGCTGTATGACTAACATGGGAAATGTCAGCCATCAGTATTATTAGTTGGTATGTATTGGTTATCACTGCTGCATAATTCAACTGGTAAGTGATGGTCATCACTGCTCTGATTGGGAAGTGTTGGTTATTGCTACTGTATCATTTATAATAAATATTGGAGATTACTACCGTATGATTTGTAATGTAAGTGTTGGCCGACATTACTTTGTGATTTATCAGGTAAGTGTTGGTCATCATTGCTGCATGACTTACCCCATAAATCATCACTTCTTTATTATATATCTTGTAATTCTTTCGCATCACTATCATATGACTTATCTGGTAAATGTTGGTTGTCACTGTATTGTCATTAGCTAGTAAGTGTTGGTTATTAGTGATGTATGATTTATCCTGCAAGTACTGCTTATCCCTGCTTTGTGATTTGTCCTGTAAGTGTTGGTCATCACTTCCTTGTTATTTACCTGGTAAATATTAATAATCACTGCTGCATAATTTACCTGATAAATGTTGGTCATCATTACTGTATTATTTATTTGGTAAGTGTTAGTCATTAATTCTTTATGGTTTGCTTGAAAAGTGTTGCTCATCGCTGCTATATGACTTATCCTGTAAGTATTGTTCATCACTGCTTTGTGTTTACTTGACTGAAGGACTGACATCTCTTCACTTGGGACATTTTCATGCGTGCTCAGTCCCCATTCAGTAGCCATTGAAGTATAAAAGTGATGATTCTTCCTGTGACATATCGAATGCCCATCCGCCACTCCTTTCATTTCAATCTGGACTTTCTTCCATCTCCCCTAGAGAACCTAAGATTGGCAAGACTTTCCATCACTGCTTCTTCAGCCTCGCTGTAGTTGTGCTCAAAGATTTCCCATAGAACTTTCACAATCTCTGTTTAGTCTGGCTTCAATTTGCTCCAGTAAAAGCATTACCAGCCAGTTTATATACACTTTCATTTTCTTGGACCCCAGCATGATCAGGGGAGAATATTAATACTAGGTTCTTCACACGCAACTTCTGCAGAGATTGTAGCTGTCCACATGGAACCATCTGTCTTTTATGCAGCATGTTTTGCGAATCAGTGACAAATACTGTGTGTCTTACAGGTTGATCCTCAAACCATCTCAGGGCAACTGGTGCAGTTTCAATCTCCGTCTGCATACTTGATGTTGTGGCACTGTATTCAGCAATACCACATCTAGATTGCCTGGCTAAAAGGCCCATCAGTGTAAATCACTGCGTCTTCCGGTTTCAAAGTTTCCTCAGTCAGTTGTCTGACCTCAATATCAGTGACTCCAGCAGCCTATTCGCTGCCCAAGAGTGATCACAAATCTAGCATATGAGTTCTTTTCACTGCAGATCTGTACCCATTCTTCTCCACATACAATCTCTTCCAACACACAGGCCTTCTTAATAGTAGGCTCTGCTTCTGTCACCCATGATATTCCTCTTTTAATTCTGCATCATTTGTGTATGAGCTTTCCCTGGTTTAGGCAATGGCTTCAGTTAGCTCTATAGCCATTCTTTTGGAAGTGATAAACTTTTTATACTGTCATTGAATTCTCCACAATCTCACCCAACTTGCTTTCATCTAGTTCCCTGATATTGTGATGACATTGTACCCCATGAAGGCCAGGGACACTATCCTTACTCTGTCTGAGTACTGTGGATTTATCATAATCCTCAAGCCATCTCTAATCACATCTTACCTCACAGTCTTGTTGATCTGTCTTTTCACAAAAACGTTTCAAGAAGGCTTTACGCTTTTCCTGCTCAGTCTTCATGATGACGGCATCTCCGTTCTGTATGTTTGGTATTGTGTGGCCTTACCATCTTCCCACAACTAAACTGATCCCATTTGTTCACTTAGATACAGCTGTCAGTCTTTTAAGTTCCTCTGTTAGTCTGTTCTTCTTCCTCTCTACCTACCTCATCAGTTCCTCTGTGCTTGATGGTTATGTTCTTGATTTCTACCATCTTCATATATCACCTCTTTTCTTCCTCCAAGCTTCCTCGACTTTTTCCATCTACCATAGTGGTTGACTAAACTTATGTCTTTTTGTCTTTTTCTTGGAATTCTGTCGAAGGAAGTCAAGGTGTCCATCGTTCTACCTACTAGTGTAAATGAATACCCGTGGTGCTTTCTTTGTCTTATTGCTGCCAATCTTCCTGATTAATACAACAAATTGTAGTTGATCACTTTTTTCATACTATTCCAGCACATTCCATTGTGTATTCGTTATTGTTTTGTGTTTGTGATTTATCTGGCAAATGTTGGTAGTCACTGCTGGGTGGTTTACCTGGTAAGTGTTGCTCATCACTCCTGTATAATTTACCTGGTAAGTGTAGGTCATCATTGTTGTATGGTTTATCTGGTAAGTGTTGCTCATCACTCCTGTATAATTTACCTGGTAAGTGTAGGTTATCGCTTCAGTATGATTTACTTGTTCATCATTTTGGTATTATTTATCCTGTAAGTGTTGCTTTTACTGCTTTGTAATTTACCTCGTGAGTGTTACCGGTCACTGCCTTGTGATTAGATAGTAAGTTTTGATCATCATTGTTGTGTGATTTATCTGGTGAATGTTGGTCATTGCTGTATTGTGATTTATCTGTTCAGTGTTGTTTATCACTGCTGTATGGCTTATCATGTAAGGTTTGATCGTTACTGCTTTATGATTTACCTGTAAGTGTAGGTCATCAGTGTTGTAAGATTTATCTAGAAAGTGTAGGTCATTACTGCTGTATGATTTACCTGTAAATGTAGGTCATCATTGCTGTATGACTTATCATGTAAGGGATGGCCGTTACTGCTTTATGATTTACCTGTAAGTTTAGGTCATCAGTGCTGTATGATTTACCTGTAAGTGTAGGTCATCAGTGCTGTATAATTTATCTAGAAAGTGTAAGTCATCAGTGTTGTATGATTTATCTAGAAAGTGTAGGTCATCAGTGTTGTATGAGTTACTTGTAAGTGTAGGTCATCACTGTTGTATGAGTTACCTGTAAATGTAGGTCGTCAGTGTTGTATGAGTTACCTGTAAGTGTAGGTCATCAGTGTTGTATGAGTTACTTGTAAGTGTAGGTCATCAGTGCTGTATGAGTTACCTGTAAGTGTAGGTTATCAGTGCTGTATAATTTACCTGTAAGTGTAGGTCATCAGTGCTCTATGATTTACCTGTAAGTGTAGGTTATCAGTGCAGTATAATTTACCTGTAAGTGTAGGTCATCAGTGCTCTATGATTTACCTGTAAGTGTAGGTTATCAGTGTTGTATAATTTACCTGTAAGTGTAGGTCATCAGTGTTGTATGAGTTACCTGTAAGTGTAGGTCATCAGTGCTGTATGATTTACCTGCAGTGTAGGTCGTCGTTGCTGTAGGATTTACCTGGGCATTTTGATATTTCACGATCATATGTTTCGATTTTGACACTCTTTCCTATCAATAATTCAAACATATCTCCCATTCACAAGCAAAGTGCAAGTAACGCTGTCACCATTGGCCCAATGCAATATTATATACAGAATTTCAAAACGATGGTCGGGCTGACAAACAAAAAAGTAACACGATGGGCTATGTGTGCTGTGCCCACCACGGGCATCTAAGCCAAGTTTGTTGTTGTTTTTGCGATATAAGCCTGCATATGTTATCGCTGAGCCACTGGAAAGCTTTCAAAGCCAATTTCAAAATATAATATTATCTATTAGGGATATGTAAGTGTAACAGTCAGTGGGCCTATTTATTAATTCAAAATGGTGTAACAATCAGTAGTTATTTAGTAATGATATAAATCTTTACCATATTTCTGATGTGTTAAGACATAACACCAACTTAATCTGGTTTGCATTGTAATGTTGTCAAGTAATTTGCTAACATATGTAGATTCTCAACCACTACTGTTTGTTTTGTTACGTATCTGCTTGTTTGTTAATTTCCCGTAAAATTTCTTTCCGAGAAACTTCAGCAATACAAGTTCTTTCTTGATTAAAACTAGTTTATTCTTTCTCATACAAATTTTGTAATACACTTAACAACTTTTATAACACACGCTATAAATCACAGTGATTCACAGACTTTACTTACGGTGCCTACTGTTCGCTTGACTTAATTATCTCTATTTTCAATCTATCTGCATATCTATCTATCGCTGGCTTTATTTGCCGGGCTTATATACTAAAAAAAAAAGGGCGCATGGCAAACACTCAGATATTCGCGGAGTTCCTTGATAAGTCATGCTCCTTCTAGAAACTCCAGCGTGCATGCTCCCAGCGTCGCGTGACTTCCGCTGTCATAACATTACTAAAAAGTTGTATCAAGAAAGAATAAACTAGTTTTAATTAAGAAAGGACTTGTATCACTGAAGTTCCTCAGAAAGAATTTATACCGGAAATTAACAAACGAACAGAGACGTAACAATACATTACGTCTCTATACAAAGCCTAGCCTTATCAATTTGAACTTTTGGCACTGTGGCTCGATATTCAAAATTCACAACCTATCATTTCCTCTATTATTCGTTTCTTGTTGTTATTAGAAAGGTTTTTCCGAATAGACTAATTCTTTAGACAATTGATGGCTTTGCGAACTCGAAACTTTTCATGAGATTTCGTGATACAAGATTCTTGATTTTTAAAGTAGGTTCTATGAGCCAAATGGTCAAAATTGTGATTATGGATTAAACTTCTAAAGATTATGTAACGATCTCAAATAATGTTTCATTCAGTCATGGCATGTTTAGAAAATTTTCTCATTTGTATAACTTCTCTTTTCATATGACATGTGTTTCTCATGATTGCTTATCAAATTATTTACAAAAATTATTTGTAAACATATATTTTTCTAAGTTATAATAACTATAAAGTCACATAAATGATTTTTATATTATCCTTATAATACATTTTGATTTTCTTATATTGCATCTTTGTTACATTAAGAATATCGATGAGCCTATTACTGAACGATAAAAATATTGGTAGAAAATAACACACGCTGAGAGAACCCTGTGTATGTCGGACAAGATACTGATATACACTCAACACTTTCTTATACTCACGCCATTGATAAGATAGAAAAAGGTGCCATACTGGGATATTGCTTTGATGTTTCATATATAGGTACAGTTAAGTGGTTTGTAAAAGTATTTACCTGTGTTATTTACTTTATTGATAAAATTCAGTAGGAATTTAAAAACTCATATTTTAACTTCCAGTGGATGGCCCATCGTTAACTTTGTGCTACTCCTACATGATCGAATAGTGGGAATTTGACTGTCACTCATATAATGCACTCACAGCCTAAGTGTGCGAAACACGTTCTTGAGGCAATGAATCATTTGATTCGCGGTCCACTGAATCGCGCCTAGCCTTTAACCATTAGGACATACTAAAATGATCAAATAGTCTTTATAAAAGCACACATATGTAAGTAATATTATTTATATATTATAGCTACGTTGAGAACCCGTGACATCACGAATGAAATGTATCACTTCCACTTACTGTTATTTTTCTGTGTGTGTTTATTTATATATATCTTATTGATTATGTAATCCAGTTATGATTTATAAATCTTAACTGACACAATTAGTTAGCCCCCCCCCCAGTGGCACAGCGGAATGTCTGCGGACTTACAACGCTAGAATCCGGGTTTCGATACTCGTGGTTGACAGAGCCCAGATAGCCCATTGTGTAGTTTTGTGCTCAATTACAAACAAACAAACACAATTAGTTGCTCTACGTTGATTTTAACACTAACATTGATAGAAATATATGGAACGAAAATAGCAGGAAATGCTAATTACGACAATTAAAACGATGAATTGGAGCTAAATATATATATATATATATATATACTCACGTTGACACTCGTTAGCTGTGGCTGCAGTAGCTCTTGCCCAAGGTAGATCGTTGTAAAAAGGGAGACATTCATCACAATCGCGACCTCTAGTGTTGTGTTCACAGCGACACGCCAGACTCTGTTCTTCAACCCTTTCTCCTGTGACGATACACCCACTAGCATGACCGTTACACTTACACCTAGAAATAACAAAAATATTCTTTATAAAAGCTTAGATTATCCTTATTAAAAAATACCGTTACATTATGGTGCCTCAATACGATATAAAAATCACGCAGTTCTATTACGATTTAGGCAAATCGGTTGTAAAGTGACATAAACTCAGATTTTCCTCGTTCTTAACTATTTTTGATTATTAAATTACACAAAAGAAGAATACATTGTTTCCAATAGACTAAATATAACTCTCATTGTAAAAATATATATCACGGAGTTTTCGAATAATTTCTCACTGTTTTCTTTATAATATTAATTACTGTTAATTACAATTTATAAACAATTTACAGTCAACAATAGTCTGGACTATATAAAAAGACAGTCAACATAAAAACACAGACAGTAATAGTCTGTACTATATAAAAACACAGTCAACAATAGTTTGTACTATATAAAGACACAGTCAACAACAGTCTGGACTACATAAAAACACAGTCAACAACAGTCTGGACTATATAAAAAGACAGTCAACATAAAAACACAGTCAGTAATAGTCTGTACTATATAAAAACACAGTCAACAATAGTTTGTACTATATAAAAACACAGTCAACAACAGTCTGGACTACATAAAAACACAGTAAACAACAGTCTGGACTAACCACCTAGGAATATCGGGCCGATTGAGTTTGTTTTACTGAACTGCTTCTAAGCCATTATACTGTACTTAATAATAATTATCGAACAGCTTTCAAGTAACCTTACGCAAGTAAAAAAGTCACACACAACTCTTTCATAAAAATAAGTAAATTAATGCTGATAACAAATAGGTCAGCTAGTCTAGGCATTCGTTAAGCTCTAAGTATATTATTCACAATACCTACCTTCCTCCTACCGCAAAGTCAGTTATGGCGTAATAATAAGATTTCAGAACATTGGGATCACCAAATATCTCATCACCAAATGTATTCATCCGATTCAAAGAAATACGAATGTCTGTAGCTGTAACCCATTCCTACAACCAGATAAACAAAAAAGGAAAAGAATTAACACCACAATCTAAAATATTTAAACCATCATTTGAAAAAAAAAGTCTGCGTGTGTGTGTGTGTGTCAGCTTATAACTGGCAAATCGCTGGACCGATTGTCACCAAACTTGACATGTACCCTTAAGCACCCCCCCCCCCCGGAGAGTGACAGAGGGGAGGTAGGTTCGGATATGACACCTCTATGTCACCCCGGATAACCCCTGTGTCTTCCTCCATGTACGTCAGTCAATAATATAATAATGGATGAAAATAAATGGATCAAGAAACTTAGGCTAACATATCCTAGCTAGAGAATGTCTATGTCACCCCGGATAACCTCTATGTCTTCCCCATGTACGTCAGCCAGTAATATAATAATGGATGAAAATAAATGGATCAAGAATCTTAGGCTAACATATCTTAGCTAGAGAATGTCTATGTCACCTCGGATCACCTCTATGTCTTCCCCCATGTACGTCAGTCAGTAATATAATAATGGATGAAAATAAATGGATCAAGAAACTTAGGCTAACCTATCCTAGCTAGAGAATGTCTATGTCACCCCGGATAACCCCTATGTCTTCCCCCATGTACGTCAGTCAGTAATATAATAATGGATGAAAATAAATGAAACTTTATCCTAAACCACTTACAACTGGATGTAACCACTTTATCCTAAACCACTTGCAACTGGATGTAACCACTTTATCCTAAACCACTTACAACTGGATGTAACCACTTTATCCTAAACCACTTACAACTGGATGTAACCACTTTATCCTAAACCACTTACAACTGATTGTAGTCACTTTATCCTAAACCACTTACAACTGGATGTAACCACTTTATCCTAAACCACTTACAACTGGATGTAGTCACTTTATCCTAAACCACTTACAACTGGATGTAGTCACTTTATCCTAAACCACTTACAACTGGATGTAGTCACTTTATCCTAAACCACTTACAACTGGATGTAACCACTTTATCCTAAACCACTTACAACTGGATGTAGTCATATTATCCTAAACCACTTACAACTGGATGTAGTCACTTTATCCTAAACCACTTACAACTGGATATAACCACTTTATCCTAACCACTTACAATGCTAAAACACAATGTTTACTAAACAATCCCTCACTTATATTACTTAATCAATATAGTCGTCGAATACTACCCCCAAAACCTGAGATTTTGTAAGTAATAGTTATCATAATTTATATTATGTTATTATATCTTAGTTTTCAATTATTTGAAGAGTTATTAAAATATCTTATAATTTATTATACTTCCATGCTAGTTTGCATTCCATGTTCTTTAACTAAATGCACAAAAAACGCCCCAATCGTACTGAATATTAACAATTATGTGTTTTTGCAATGTTTTTAAAGATTAAAATAAGAGAATTAAAACTCCATTCATTTAAAACAGAAGAAAAGGAATTTCAAACGTTACTTCAAAGGCAATTATCGAAACCTTTAGTTTCCTTATAGTTTAATTAAATCTTATTGACTCTAGTGTTTGAAATATTTGTTCAATATTTATTTTAATTATAATGAAGTTTACTTTATATTGTTCTTTTCTGTGTGCATTTAGGATTTAGTTGGTCAAACCTCGTGAGATACTATTGGGATTACGGCCGAAAATATTTTTAGTAGCAATGGTATCCAACTGATGATTCTTTGCAATCTAAGCATTGTAGGTTTTAAGTGCTAATTTTTGGAATAATTAATTATTTCAATATCAGCAACAAATCTTACTAAAACATGTGTTTTAAACCAAATACCTGTTTTACTTAAAATGACAATGACTAGCCACGTCTATCAAGTAGATCACTAATTTGAAAGTTCACACCGTACACTATGTGATAACACCTGCATCAATCACCTGTAAAGCTGGACTGTTTTCAAAGTTGTATGCGCTAGGCCTTCCTTCCAAAGTGCTGAACGCCACATTTCCACCTGTGAGGGGTGAAATGTCACTGAATTCGGATGTACACAAAGCCCTCATCTCCTCGTCGTTGCTGACATACAAACTGTCGGGTAGTCCGTAAGTGGCCCTACAGGTGGCGCTATAATATTGGTAAGGAATCCAGGGTTCGTCTTCACTTGTTCGTTTGTAAATGACAAAACTCTCGGGGCGACTCGTGTGAAATTTTAGACGAACATACGTAATTTCAAAAGCCTTACCTACAAATTCAGAGAAACAAATTAATATTTATTAACTTTTTAACTAAATCAGTTTAAAATGTGTCACATTCAAGACAAAGCATTTTCTAGAAAGGAAAAAAACAACAACAACCAACCTTTAATATGTTATTTATGGATTGATTATCTTAATCAACTACAAACAATATTTACACTCATAACAAATGGACAACGAAGGACTATTTGGTCCTTCGAGGTTGTCTATGCACACCCATTAATATTTACTTTGATAAGTAAGTCACTGAAAGAAACAATATATAACATTGTTGAACAAGTAAAAGTTTGGAATGGTCTATTCTTTCATTGAAGATGTGTTTGTGAGCCAGACTAGTTTCGGAGAATTCCACTCCTCATCACGTGACCCTGGACACGACTACCAAATGAAACTTCAGCTCAAACCAAGCCTTTATAGT